CACCGCTCACGCTCACGTGAGCGTGAGCGAAAAACCGCTCACGCTCACATGAGCGTGAGCGGAAAAACGCTCATATGAGCGCTCATAAGCGCTCATGAGCGTGAGCTGTACAGCCCTAGTCGTCGTTATTATCAATAGGACGATGTAAAAGTTTAAAAAAATGTTCGCATACCTCCAATGCTCGTATAAATATTTTGGCTGCGTCAACAAGGTTGTTTATTCGAACGCATTCTTTTCCATAATTAATATATTCTCGTAGAAGATTTTCAACATGTTGAGAAGATTTTTGTTCACGTTTTTCATCGACATTTTTATCAGTATTTTCATCAACACATTCATCACTATTTTCATTAAAATTCTTGGGGATATCTTCAATAGCCTTTTCATCAATATTTTCAAATTTATAGTATGCGAATAAATCATACAGAAATATCGAAAGAAATTGAGCAATATCTTTTTCTTTTTCAAAAATATCAAGTGATATGGATGCTTTGGTCCTCAGCAAAAATTCAAATTTATATTCTATTTCATAAAACACAGTTTCGCGATTAAAAACCAATTGCCACTCAGCATCTCCATTCACAAGATCATCACTAACATACTTTTGTTTCTCTTCACTTGACCATAATAAGAACAATAATGTTTTTACATTGCGTAATTTATCATTGCAGTCTTTTAGTTTATCTGAATCCGAGTTATTAGTCGCTTGCTGCCGTTCAAGTATTACTTTGCATTGTGTAAAAACATGATAGAAATTTTGTAGAATAGTCTTTAATTGTACTTTTGAAGTTGGTAATAGCTGTTTCAGTTCTTCTATTGTATGAAGTTCTTCAGTATTTGCATACAACAATTCTACAACCAAATCTTCAGGCCATTGATATTGCCGAATAAGAACTGAATTGAATTCATATTGATAAGCGTCGTCGTATTTGTGTTCCTTTTCAAAGATTTCACTAGCAAAATGATAAAACTTTATAGCTGATGCCCAGTATTCTATTTGTGAATAGAATTCTATTTTTTCATGAAAACTTTGTGGCAATTTATCGAACTTTTTCATTTGACAATGTATATATCCAATTTCAAGTTTTAGTTTCACAATATCCATATGATCATTCGACAGATTAACATGTTGAATTTCATTTGCTTTTTCATACTGTTCAAGTGCTTGTCGATAATTTTGTTTTTCTGCATAAATTTTACCAATCAAAATGTAACTTTTAGCTAAGTCTGGATGATTATTTGATAAATATTTTAATTTTAAACTTTCAGCTTTGTCGGCATAGGATAATGCACTATCATATTGTGTATTTTTAATTAGTTCATAAGCAATTTTTTGATAGATAATTGATCTTAATTTAATTATGTCATCATCTAATTCATTACCGTATTGTTTCATATCGTTTTCAAGATTTTGTAATGTTTGTAAGCCATTAACTTTATCACAGTCAGCTAAAGCCAAATAAAGTTCAATTTTCATATATTGATCATTTTCATCAACAAACTGTAATGCTGAAGAATAATGTTCGACAGCCACTGAAAACTTCTTTTCCAAAACATGTAGATTACCAAGCAAAATCGAACAAATAAGACGATCGCTTCTATCGTTCAAACTAGTTTGAGTTAAATATGAAATTGCATCATCTATGTCACCTTTTAGAGCGAACAATATACCAAGACTGAATATAGTTTGTGATGTTGGTTCTTGTTCTCTAAAATATGCAACAGCTATGTTATAAGATTCATACACAAAATTATTAACAACATCATCGTTATTATTTAAATAGAACATTGGTCGAACAGTATTTTTCCAACATTGCATTGCTAGATCGTAACGTTTATTATCATACAGTGTCTTATTGACAAAGAAACTGCCCAATAAATTTAATAATTCTAATTCACTTGTGTGACTTGCTAACGGTTGTAGGTTAGTAAGATTTGTAAACGAAACGTTCCATATAAGATATTCACTTTTGTAAGCGACATACATGGTGAGAATACGATATTTCGTTATTTTTATTAATTTCGTATTCGCAAATGGCAAAATATTTTCATAAATTTTGCTTGCATTATCATAACCATCAGCATATAGGTAATGATTGTTCGAATAATAGTGGGGATTTGTTGTCCTATCACGTTGTTCTTTAAATAAAAATGCGTAAAATATAGCATCCGCTTCTATCAGACGTTTCTCAAGAGCATCATATGCAATTTCTTTTTTATCTTGTTGAATTAATTGCTCCGTTTTATCGAAACATTTTTCTGCTTCATTATAGTTCTCTATCGATGTATAACTACGTCCCATATTTGTATAAATTGTTATCAAATGTTGTTTGCCAATTGGTTCACAGTTTTGAATTCGAAGTGCTATCTCAAAATTTTCTAAGGCCTCATAATAATATTTTTGTTCCAATAAAACTGAACCGATATTATTGTAGCATTCTGCTAGCGCATTGTTGTTGGATGAATCAAGTCGCACTTGATATTTTAATGCTTGTTTATAATATAGCATGGCATCGCCGAATAATTTTTGCCGAGAATAAATTGCACCCATACAATTATACGCTGCTGCTAATGATGAGTCATCTTTGACGAGTACATGTTTATTATCTAATAAATTAATTAATGATTTTCTAACTGTACGATATTGTTCCAGTTCAATTAAATATTTAATTAATAATATATATAATTCTGCTTGTGTATATTTTCGTAGTTTTAATTTCATATCATCAATTACTGATTCATTATATTCACAAGCTATTAATTGAACCGTATAAAAATGATTCGGTTCGACAGGGTCACATATAGAATCAATTGAAAAAACTGCACCAATACTAAATAGAACTTCTTTTTCTTCTGGATGATAAGAAATATCTTCGATGCAAGCAAATTCTGTGCATGATCTTGATGGATCAATGGTAATTTCATAAACAACTGGTACAACATTCGGTCGTGAACATGGCTTATTAGCATATAAATTAGAAATCGCTCGATCCGTAGTCGTTGATATAAATCCATTCATTGATATTAAATGTCCTTTTTCGGTTGATGCTGTTTTCAAGCTATCAAATTGACATTGATCAATCCATTCTGCTCGAAATACCATTGATGGACGTCGTTCACATTGTTCATCATAAGTTCGTTTAATCATTTGACATAGATCACTAATGAAATATCGATAGGACATTAATAATTCGAAATTTTCCATACGCAAAATGTTATTGATTTGCCGATAGATAAATGCCTCATTCCATGAGTACCACCAAATACTGTTCGAATAATGCATTGAACGATTTGTCTCTGAATCAATGATTGGTATCTATTAAATAACAAAGAATACATCATCACGAGAACTAGACACTGATTGTAGTCGCTGAAATTATTTTTTTACTTGACTTAGACATGGATAGAACAAGTTTTTATTGTCTCTGAATAGAACCTTATTTCTTTAGTCTCAATCAACACAGGACATTAGAGATGTGTCATAGTAACTTTAGTCACCTTTATGAGCTTTGACGTTGTACCACGAGAAAGTTAGCTTCTTGACTTTGATTTATTAAGATTCTCTTCATTGTAGTCTACTATTCAACGGATCTATCGAATATCTAAGAGAAGCAGCAGATTTTTTTGTATTCATATACAGCACATCGTCAAAAAATGTCACTCGCACACTCTCGCGTATCTAACAAATATTAGGTATGCTGTGTTTTGTCGCTAGTGTTTACAATCTTATGCTTTATCATCGTTAGTTACTTTGTGAACTGTACATATGCAATTTTTCAGTTAGTAGCCAAGAAAGTTTGCATAAGTAAAGACAGTACATAAAAATCTACAACACACCTTAAAATCCAGATTTTCTTACTTCTTCGACCGTTGTTTTCATATTCGTATTTTGTCGGTAAAATTTTTGTTGAAAATTGCGCACAGCTGATTTTTCTTCTTCCCATTTGCTTTCTTGTTCTTTGTTGATCATCTATAACATTGAATAATAAAAATTGGAAAAAAATAAATGATTCTTAGCATAATAGCTAGATATGCTAGCCAACAGATTTTTTTTATGATGCTGGTGGTATAGGAAATGTTCTTTTTTTCTATATCAAAAAGTCCCATCAGTGACTTGTTTACAGTGTATATCATTGTTTTGAAAACCATGAAACTATTATTATTGTTTTTGACGAAGAAAATGGTCTAGAGTTACAAGTTTTGAAAAAATCTCCCTAGTAAAAGCTGAAATTCTTTATCAACGAGGAACAGTCTGAAAAATTCAAATAAAAGTCTTGGGCATTGAAAAAAAAATGTAGGTTTGAAAATTTTTTTCACTAGCATCTACGACTAATGGTAGAACTTGTTAGGTGAATCATTTGATAGTATTTGTACTATGAAACGGTATTAGATCCGACGCGTTCTAAATTTGTAAGTAATGGGAGAAAGTGTGAGCACTACTGTACCCTTATACATATCTTTTGGCAGCCTTTCTGCAAATGTGCTGAGTTTCGCATTAAAAGACTTGATGCGAAAATCTGTATCTTAAAATTTAATATCGAATAAAGTTTAGTTTCAAATAATATCCACGATAATAAAAATATACGTACTTGTACTTTAAGCATTTCTAATTAGAGGTACGTCTAAAAAATCTTTACTTTCAAACATGACAGAAAACAAGAAGTTACACAATGTCAAGAGTATTCTTATGAAAGATGGACACGGCTTCTAAAGCTTTAGAATCCTTGCTATGTACAAAAACTATCATTTTTTGTGATAATAAAGTCACTTATTGTAACTTGAGTCGTCGGTGACTAACATATCTAATAATAGTATAGGTCATACCTGATCTTGTGTGCGTCGATTTGGTCTCGCATTTTCTAAAAAGATTTCAGTTGTTTCCATCGTTTCCTTTCTAGCATAATTCGTATCATGTATGATTAAAGGATCGTCTTCGGCATTTGTCCCGAACACCAAAAATATTTCTTTGATTCTTCTCAACCATAAATACGAACTTGATGCTTGAGTTAAATCACTAATCGATGCCTTTTTTCCATCAAAAATTTTTAACGGTAAATGCATTTTATCTTCTTCTGAGATTTCTTTATCGATTATTGATGCTGACTGATTTTTAACTGATGCCGTTGATAATAATAGAGACCATGAGTCTGCTATTCGTGATAATTTACTTCCTTTAGAACGATCATCTACTTCGAAAAATCTTTGATCTTCGCTCATAGTTTTTTTTCGTAATCTGGAAACAAAGGTCAAAAACTCAATAGATTCAAAAGAATCTAATGCTTTAGTTTAACAATGTTCTACGAGGTCTCATACAAAGAGAAGTCGATATTGAAAATATTAGTTTTGCGTCCAAACCTGATTCATAGATAAAGTAGCTTTTACTTACGTTCTATTTCCAACATAAAATTGTCTATTGTGTTATACTAACATCGTAGATTAAAGCGTATAAGTATATAGTAAACACAAACAAAACCTGAGAAATTGATAGATTTGATAGTGGAATGCAAACCATATAAAATAACACTCATAGTCGGGACTAAAGGTATCATTTTACTGTACTGTTCCTAGGAACGGGAATGAGCAATGTAGTTTTCATTTTCAAGCACACAAACCATATATTGATTTATGTTCCACGAAGATATAGTCTAAAACGTCATTTAAAAAGTCTTCTCTACGAAAATTCTCCGACTTTTCGTATTTAAAAAAAAGGTCTCTGAGAAATGCTTCTGTATAGTATGCTCCTCTAAAAGGATATCTTTCGTAATAAAAATATACGTTCAGTAAAATATGAACAAAGTTCAGGGAAAAAGTTAATCATCTAAGTTAATATCTTACAACGGACAGAATTTAATTTAATTTTTCGTTCGCAACAGAATAGAAAATTCACACAATCAATATCGCACCGTAATTTGGTTTGTATATGGATGTTGGTAGTTTCTTCTCACCTACACCCGCACAATCTAAAAGCAATGATTCTTATTAAATCTGTACTCGAAACTGACTGACTTGATCTTGTATCCACCGTACATACTTATACATACCACAATACAGAGTGTTTAGAAAATAACTAAACAAAGAAAAACTTGAATAACATAAACATTTTTCAAGGCTACGCGCTGAGTATGTGTGTGTGAAATGACGGTGTACATCTGAATGAATCTAATCTCTAATAGACAGTCTGCTGCACACTCACACTCTATTTTGAATAATACACAACATAACACTACTTGGTTTCATCTACGAATCTTAGATATGCCTATACATTGCACTATTGAAGAAAAAACTCACAGTGGTGGAACCTTTTTTTAAGTTTGAAAATGTACAAGAAGTTCACAGATAGTGAAACTACCATTTTGATAAAACTCCATTGAGTATAGTCACAATTTTGTCAGTCATTCTGGAGTTTGATAAACCAAAACCGATTAGTAGTAGTTCATGACTGTCTATTCGATAAGGTGCTGCTCAATCTGATATAAGCAAAAGCATTTATTAAGTAGCTATGAAGCAATTTCACTCTAAACTCTATTGTTCACCATTAATAGTAGACCTTAAGAAAGATGATTCGCAAAAAATCGAGAATGATCACCATTTAATTGATCTCAGATTTTGGAGTGACGAGGTCAAATTCAATATGAATACAACGGTTAATCTTCACAATGGCACGCCATAGCTCAAGGAAAGTCCAAATTTAAAAGTTATCGTTCTAAATACTAGACAAAAGAACGTGATCTAGTGTGAAATAACTTTTAATGGACTTTTTGAGTCATTTTTTTTTCAAAGATATTGTCACAAGTTCATTGAACAACCAAATGCTCGTCGACTGCACATAGTCTCAGCTGAAACAAGAAAATTTACCTTGAATATGACGAAGCAAAATCTCATTATGCTGTTATTGTTCAAAAGTAGCTCAATAAAAGAATTTTCAGACTGTTGGATTGGCTTGTGTGATCTATTTAACTGGTCGACACGTTCACTAAATTTAATAAGATGCAATTTTCCTCTTTGATATCTTCTACTATTGTGGGGCTTCAAGATATAATTGAAAAAGCCAACCGTCAAGCGACAAAAGAAATGTGTCACAAAACATGTTGCGTTGCTATGTATCGCTTTCGTTGTTTCTTGGACAAAAAAAGGATAATGTCTTTCATATTAGTTATGTTTCAATATACACTTGCTAAACAGCTTCATAAATGCATAGCAGAAAATATTCTACTATATCGGTTGTAGCTAAGAGTGAAAACGTTTGTCAGTTGTTTAATGATATATTGACCATAAGTTTGTTCGATTTTTGTGTATAAATGAATTTGCCATTTATAAATAAAAACTTATAGCTGTCCTCTACCACCGGAACAAGAAAATCAACTCTTTTGATTAAAGCAAGACACTCATGTCCATTTCATCGACGAACAGCATACTTAACAGTAGGAGAGCATCTGCAATCTAATGACTACGAATAACAAATTTTAATGCGTCCGCTCTTCAATACTGACTGAAAAGAAAAGCAAATAAGAGGGACAAACAGAAGACGTTACTTTTAATGTACACATTGCTACAGTGATCATTGATGCATGATATGGTAGTGATATAAAAAGAAAGAAAAATACGCATGGCTCTCGCTGCTCTTCTTCATGTAAACATAAATTTGAGTGAAGATAAATAGCAAGAAACAAAAAAAAGCTGTCGTTCTGCATTTGTTCCCTTGACTGAAGGGAGGGTCATATGAAATAAAATGCATTTATATGTATATATGTATGTATGCATGTATGTGTCCAGATAAAAACGACATCAGGGTCAAAAAATCATCGTCTGAAAGACTAATGGTTAGTTCTTTTCTACATCTACCTCCTGTAAAGCTTGACCAAAGTTTGCAGGGGTCGGAGAATCGATTGGTACCATTGGTTTTCGAAAAATTTCAAATGGAATCTTTTTTTGCTACAGAACCCAGGTCAACAAATCAGACGCTACGATCAGGTTCAGATTCGTGTACGTTCGTATAGGATCTTATATCAGTATCGTACATGATCATAGAAGATCATACCAAAAATCGTGGTCTCAGATTTCTTACATCAATAATTACAGTAAGCTTTCAGTATGATCCATCAGTAGGATATTGTACGATCAGACGAAATCATTTCGCAGGATTTCAATTGATTTATTCACAAATATACATTATAGATTACAATTGTGTCTTGATATATTAATGGT